GATGATGATCGAGGCTAGTTTAAAAATTCAAGCTAATATCTTGGTTCAGAGTTGAGCAATTTGACTGAAATTTTCAGCATATTCTATTTACGTTATCTACTTTTTAATTATTAGAGCGGGAACTGTCAACTTTTTATCCAATCTCTCATAATGCCCCTTTAAAATTAAATCAGCCATATTCCCTCAAAGTCCCAAATATAGACCTCCCGTAATAACAAAGACAGTCGCTGTAGCTATATTCCCCGTGTCCTTTTGATCAGAAAAATTGGAGTAAGCCAACAGTAAACCTGAACAATAATTCGCTTTCTATGAAGAAAACAAGATGGGTGTAAAATTGTTATCGACGGCGCTACGGCTTTTACGGAACGACATGGTTTCCTGGTGGTATGTGATTGCGTCGAATCGTCTTCATCTCTGGTCGCAGCACACCAATAGAGATGGTTCGTTATATTTGGAATCCAAAGATTGATGCTGCCACAGTGTTTTTCTTTTCCAAGTGCCATCAAATTTGTTTTCAAACCCCGGAAGAAACAGTAATAACTAATGTTATAATTAACATTTATTTTAAAAACTTCTTTGTTCCAACGACCATCCAAGATATAGTCTGACATTAGAGTCAACTTTAATATGTCCGTGGTGTGTTTTATGATGACCCGAACTCTATCAAGCTACAAATAACACAAATTTACCTTTAGCTTCGTGCCATACATGGAAGAAGTGCTTCATATTCACTAGGTTTTCGCGGATCAATTTATCGATTTGGTGGATGTTGGGTTTGACTTCATTACTCTAAAATAGATCGTAAAAAATGAAATAGGAAAAATCTCTCGCTACGTTAGAATTAACAGTAGGCATACAACTAAATTTGGACTAATTAATTCTGTTGGTAACCAAATAAATTGAATAACAGATGGTTTGAGAAGAGGCATCTGATTAAATTTGTGTATTACTGCAAGTGTCTGTGCAAGTGTGCAAGTTGCACAGAGATAGGATTATAAATTAATTAACACCGCGACGTTAGGGGTACTAGCGGGATTAAGAACGCTGATTGGGTAATCATCTTTTGTATATCGATCAGATCAAAGATATGGGTTCACGCAAACTTTGTAATATTCTTCTTTTGACTTTGCAACGTGATAAATACGAATTAAGGCATATCTGGACTAATTGTATATCAAATACAAACTTAGCGTTGTGGTCAGGTGTAACTGCCCAAGTGTCATTTAATCTGACACCGGCAATGTAATCGGCTTGGAATTCTTTCTGTTCTAAATTAATAGTTGGGTGTAATAATGTATAGTTCATTGGTGATTCATGTTGGTTGTAGCATGGGGTATGTTTATGATCGAGAATGTCTTTACTTTGGATGGAAGAGAATCGACGTCACATTATGTACCTTTTCTTTGCTGGAATTTCCACAACTCTCAAAAACACAAACTAGCCTCGATCATCATCACTAAAGTCTCGATTATCCAGTTTTACTTTTAATTATTTTTCAAAATATGTATTCCAATCCGCTAATATCACAGGCTAGCGATGGCATCAAGAGTTGATTATGGTCTGGATAAGTTAATTAATTCATAACAAAACACAACACAAGGTATATATGGATATAACTACTTCTCTATTATTTAATAACGACGCTTCGTAACACATACAGGTCACATTTTCAAGTAACTGATAAATATCTTTTCGTTCGTCGTTCGTTTCTGGAGTTTTACGTCCACTTCCACCTAAGGTGAATAAATATCTATCTAGTCAGCCTATTTATACATATTTTGGCTTGCACCAACTTAATTAATAATCAGAAGAATCCATTAAAATAATTAGAAGCACCTACAATAACAATAAATAACTAGAACTGCGAAGCAGTAATGACGGGTTTCACCGGTGCCACGTTACCCTAAACGTTTTCACATAAGCATTGCACACATCAAATAAAATGGACGCCGAATCAACCAAATCCAGCAATATCAATTCATTTTATACATTTTTTACATGTAAGTGTACAGTACTTCCGGTGATAATGAAAATGTTCAATTAGTTTTATGAAATCAGAAATGGCATAAGGCATCACATGGTGAAAATTTTATGTAAATCGAATAATAATTGCCACTTTTATAGACCAAAAACCTTGAAAAGTGACTTGTAGAAAACCGTCTATTTCTCTGCAACCGTACAAGTTAGAAACCATTTTCTGGTATCTGTATGATCGTATGGGTTCAATCTATTTGCTGATTGGAATCAAATATCATAATTTTAAAAATATTACAAATCAGACTCATTTGAATAAAATATCTGTTTTGAAGGCTAAAAATACAGTTTTTGCCAAAATGACGTTACTTCCGGTGATAATGAAAATCTTAAGTTACTTGTATGAAATCGTAAATGGCATTAGGTATCAAACACGAAAATTTTATGAAAATCGAATAATAATTGACACTTTTATGGACCAAAAACCTTGAGAAGTGACCTGTTGAAAATCGCCTATTTCTCCGGAACTGAACAAGTTAGAAACCATTTTGTGATATCTATATGATCCTATGGGTTCATTCTATTAGTTGATTGGAATCAACTATCCAAATATTAAACAAATAACAAATACGACTCATCTGAATAAATTATTTGTTTCGAAAGCTATAAATATAGTTTTTGCCCAAATTACGTCATTTCCGATGATATTGAAAATGTTAAATTTGTTTGACCTAGTCACAATTGACATTACGCATCAAATGGTGTCACTTTTATGATAATCCAATAATAATTGACTCTTTTACGGGCAAAATAGTCTAAAAAGTGACACTTGCAAAATTGACCATTTCTCGGCAACTGCTCATATTACAAACTAATTTTGAGATAGATTCTCTTCGTATGAATTAATGCTACAAGTTTATGAAAGTCACAAAGAAATATTTTAAAATATGAAACGCCTGAATGGGTTGTAAATAGCTCAATTTTACACCGTTTTTCACGTTTAAATCGAAATGGCGCAGAAATGAAATCGAAATTAAAAAAAAACTGCTTCCGACTTTTTTTGCGCCTTTACATGGCGCAACTTCTTACTTTTTACTTATTTTAAAAAAATAATATTTGCTTTCGAAAAGACGTACCTAACCGCCAAAATTGTAGTTTTGGTCAAAATTACGTCATTTCCGCTGCTGACAGAAAGCTTTATCGGTAATAAAAAAGTTGAGACTTTGCATCATTGAGCATATGAACTTTGTTTTATACAAATCAAGCAATAAATAATTAACCCAGAACCCATAAACTGAATTAACCAATAGCGGCCAAGGTGAATTATCGATACAATTTTTTTTCCATATTTTTGCTCAAATCACATGACCCTTTAATTATAGGTAAAGCGCCATAAAAAAATATTCATAAATAATAAAGTTTTTTGTCAAAATTTAAATTTTCAAAATTTGGCGCCTAATATCTTCGAAGATTAATCGAAAATCAAAAATCTAAACAATCGTAGCTATTTACCGTGTCTCAGGCTATGTCAAAATGTATCAAATGTTAAAATCCGACAATTATTGTTAATATTACGGCAATATTTAAAAAAACGACAACTTCGGTGATTTCGGACATTTCGCATTGTCACAAAAAGTTCGAAATAGCTTTAATCTCTAAGTCACACCCATTTTCCCAGTAAAACCGAAGACATCGAGTTGATCCGACAAATAGTTTCTGAGATATGCTCAAGTGGAAAAAAAAAATAATAAGAAGAAGAATAATAATAATACGCAGTGTGAAACCCTAATAAAAACAATAATAATGACTGACCCCTTAGTAGGATAATAACAGATAATCAGTACTAAAGAACAAAGACCATCCTTAATAGGGTTTCACCATATCACATCTTGATCAGACCAACATTAATAATCACAACTTAATAACTGTTAACTTAGAACTAGGCAGTAATAACGAAAATATAATGTGTTCCAAATAATAGCAGAAACAACACCTTCGAACCAGCATGCTAACTTAATAGGGTTATACAAAATAAAATAAGAATTATAAGCATTTAATCAGATAACAGGCCACACTGCTCTAAATTGATACTTGATTGAAACCTATGTGTTTATGTATATAACCTGACATGAAGTAAACTTCCATATTATTAATATGCATATTAAGCGTTAAAAAGTAACTACTAAATTGTTAAACTAGCATGTAACCGTTAATTAATGTCTAATTAATAATTTAGATAACATTCCAGGCCTAAAGACAAAGAAAGACCTGCAATAGGCAGATTTAGCTCTTGCATAATGTATGTTTAATCAGATTGATGTGAATTTGCCGTAAAGTGTATATAGTAACAATTGGCTACAAGTACAGAAAATTTCGTGTGGATGCATGCTCACTTGGCAAGACATTGTTATTTTACTGAGATGAAAACTTCAAGTGACATTCCGAAACGCAGTGGCGTTGTCGCCGAGTCTCGGTTAAGCCGGGAATGCGAAGGCGCCAAATTTTCTATTGACTATGTTATGATAAATAGTTGGTTCGTTAGGAAACTGAAGGCTTAAAATATGACTTGTCAATGGGAAATTACCCCTTGCTACGACCGTTCACAAACGACTGCTGCGACTGTGTCATATTTTTTTTACCAACCAAAGGCTTTTATGTTTGTATCCACGCGTAATGACCGCGCAGTGAAGTCCTAGATAATTCTTGACACGGTCCTTCACACAATCTAGGTTTTGGCCAAAGGAATGTCTAGTGCCACTCTTTAACAGTTGTTTTCAGGAATTTCAACTTTGTGACATACGTGTTAAAACAAAAACTCTCGATTTTGATAATGGTGAATCCCGTGTCTTATATATGAATGACTACAGTAGCAAGCGTGCAGTAGGGTGTTTCAGGAAATCTACTAGGGTCACTTTTTTGATAAATGACTGTACGGGATTTTGTTGAGATCCCCATAGAACTATAGCTTCATATGGACTGTACTTTAAAGGTCAAGAACTAACAAAGTACGTATAGCTTCTACTAACCCAAAAATGAGATCAGCGGCTGTTTCAAATTCTTTGTAAAGTTGTGTAGGGTAATATTTAAACACAGGGAAAGTATAAAAGCTATGGGCTATCAGAGAAAGGAACTTGTCAACATTCTTTAAAAAAGTTTGGTTTTTTTCATAGGTTTCTTTGTCACTTCTGTCTAAGAAACCAAATCTTGAATTAAAACAGTAATGGGCTGTTGCTGTTGAAAAATAAAATTATATTTAAGGTGATTAATAAATATTAAGATAAATATACATAAAATACACACATTTGGCTTATATTCAAAAACATCTGCCATGCGACTAAATCAGTATTCCTCGAAATCTACCGGTAATTTATCTCGGTTATCTCGGGGAAGAATAATAGCTTGGCTGAGAGTGTTTACAAATGTGTTCGATTGTCTACGGGTAGCAAAACTTTAATCAGTTGCCTTCTGATCAGTCATAAGCAGATTTGGAAATGCTAAAAAGTTATCGATATCGCAAATAATCAATAATTGCATGTTAGAACATAATTTTACCTCAACCCACGACAAACCTCGTTTATAACGTCCCACAAACTATTTCATGTCATACCTTGCTGCGATTTTTCATGCACACTTTTACGATATAATCAGAAGCGAATTTGAAGGAAATAAAGAATGTAATAAAATCCCAATTGTCAATGTCAGCCTTATGTATTTCACCAAACATAACTGTTTAGAAGTTACAATAAAAAAAATGGACAAACAAATGAATGTAAATCAGTAAATAATTATATCTTTTATGTGCTTTTAGACTCATTTCCGCCTATTTAAGGCTCCAATGAATAGGGCTATACGCCGCTTAAGCCAAAAACAAAACTACAATTAGTCTTTTACGAGTAATGTTTTTCAAATGCTCATGAATTTTCCTCATTTGAAGTTCCAATTCATTTTCGCTTACCATCATGGGTTTGGCTGAGAAAGTTCCTTGGGATATTTCAGCGTCAGTGGCATAGGGTGGGGGACAAGGAGAAGTGTCTCGAGTCGTTTGAATGGCTACGAAACAACGCGATCCCATGTACATGTTGGCATGTATATAAAATGAAATGAAATGAAATGGGGTTTAACGTCCTACTCTTCTGCTCCTAATCTGGGCTAATGAAGACGGGCATACGCCATACAGTGTGCTATAAGGGAAATTTTGCCCGGGCAGCGGCGCTACGGCCTACTCTTATATCGAATTCCAACTGCCAAGGAATCTTTTACGTGCACACCAATGTGTACACGGGACCTCGGTTTTTCGACCAATCCGAACGACTAGACAGCTGTCCTTGTCAGGCCCTCCGTCCTGCATCACTGACAAGGGGAAATCACGGGCATGTACATAAAAGAATCATTGATAGTTGGAATTCAACGGAGTATAACAGTTTTCATTAGCCCAGCTGGTGCAGCAGAGTACACTTTATATATATTTTATCTGCATATAGTCAGGGCCCGTGAGGGGGGGGGGGCACCTGGGACACTTGTCAAGGAGCCCGGACCCTAGAGGGCCTCGGGGGTCTACGAGTAATGTTTGTTTTTCTTGTTTTTTTTAAAAAAATAGTTGGTATAAATAAATACACCATTACTTGATCATAAAGTAGAAGAAAACCGGTGACTTTTCTGAATATAGGTACCTAGTGGCGTGGGTACCATTAGAATCGAATCCTGTTAGTCCACTATTTTTGGAAACATTGGTGAATTAAAAACTATAAGCCACCTGCCCTTCCTCGCTCCGTTTGGGGTTCTCGTCACCGTCAGGGTATCTTGGCCCCGGCAGGTAATCGGGGCCTAGCCTGGGCCTGCAGTACGTGTATTTGGTACGATATATGTTGTTAAATCTCAGTGTTTAGCAAAGTGACCCCAAACTAACAAAGATATACGCCACAATGTTGCTAGAGACCATATATCTCACAAAAAATTTCGAGTCCGGGGGAAGAGACCCCTACCCCCTCGCCGAGTTGCTTGTTCCACTGCCCTGAGTATGAAAGCATATAACTACCATTCATAATTTCTACTTTTCGCCTCTTCAAAACACGAAAGTCGAAAAGTCGAAAAGTCGAAAAGTAGAAGTTACGCCAAAATGTGAGGCGACAACACGCTATACATGCCAAAATCAACTCGAAAATAGGAAATTAAGAAATAACACACAGCGATAATAGCGCCCCTCGTTTTTTCCTAATTTCTTATTTTCGATTTGCATTTTGGCTTGTATACCGTCTTGTCGACTTTCGACTTAGTCATATTTTTGTATTTATTGATGTCAGTTAGAAGGCGCCAACACGCATACCAAGCAATAATGCAACTCGAAAAGTAGAAATTAGAAAATTTACACACCACGCTTTTAGCGACTTTTCGACTTTCGCCTCGGAAGTTGTTGTAGTCTCAGTTTTCCAGGTCGCATTTGAATACGTGCAATCAGGGTTCACACTGTACACGTATTTCATTCTTTTACGTCAAAATGGATAATAATGTTTATATAAAAAAAATGTTCATATTTTTTTCCGCCAACTGGGATATTTTATCTGCCAAAAATGTCTGATAAAAAAAAGAGGGGAATCCGCCGGAAAATCTGGATGAACTTTATCAGACATTTTTGGCAGATAAAACATTTTTTTTATATAAACATTATTATCCATTTTGACGGAAAAGAATGAAATACGTGTACAGTGTGAACCCTGATTGCACGTATTCAAATGCGACTTGGAAAACTGAGACTACAACAACTTCCGAGGCGAAAGTCGAAAAGTCGCTAATAGCGTGGTGTGTTAATTTCCTAATTTCTACTTTTCGAGTTGCATTTTGGCTTGGTATGCGTGTTGGCGCCTTCTTACTAACATCAATAAATACAAAAATATGACTAAGTCGAAAGTCGACAAGACGGTATACAAGCCAAAATGCAAGTCGAAAATAAGAAATTAGGAAAAAACGAGGGGCGCTATTATCGCTGTGTGTTATTTCTTAATTTCCTATTTTCGAGTTGATTTTGGCTTGTATAGCGTGTTGTCGCCTCACATTTGGTCGTAACTTCTACTTTTCGACTTTTCGACTTTTCGACTTTCGTGTTTTGAAGAGGCGAAAAGTAGAAATTATGAATGGTAGTTATAGGCTTCCATACCTGAGGGACCTGTCGCGGGCCTTGCATATAGTTATCAAAATATTACTTACATTCAGCCGTATATTCCATGATAAGATTTTCCATGGGTGTGCCACTGTTTACTTCTTGTGCGATACATTGTACGAAATCGTCAGCAACTTCTAAATGTGAAGGTAAATACCGACAAACAACTGCTGGTTTTGATGTCTGGATTTGAACAGCTTTTCGAACTTTGTTCCATTGATCCCCTTGCCTGCAAGCAATATACACCCCTAATAAAAATCTAGCATGTATCGTTCGCATTGGTATTCAAACTAAGATGATAATATATTTTATCACCCAAAAATACATTCTCACAGCAGATATCGCTTGTGTGATAACTTTCATAATCAACTGAGTGATATCTCCTTAGGAGATATCGCTTTACATGAATTTGATTGGTCAATTAGAAAGGAACTACTTTCTGGCTAGAAAAGTTCTCAATTATCATAAACAATTACAATACTCCCCACAACCGTAAAGGAAACACCGGGTCAATATAAAGGACTTAGCTACAAGTGACTTGCTGTCAAAAAATGATATATCACTACGCCGTAATGCAATCAGGTTCAGTAAAATTAAATCTATATCAAAGAAATATATTTATTTATTTGTGCGCCTAAGAATGGGTTGGGAGATAAATAAAATCTCCTGCTCGTCTTTTTTTATATAAAAAATTATCAACACTTGTCAAAAAAGACGAGTAGGGGATTCTCTATATATATGCAATTCATAAGAATTGTGCATTTTGTGGTACATCAAATCTGACACAGTGATGGATTATTGTATTGTGAACAATATCGGATGTGAAGACAATCAAAGGAAATCCCCAAAAATACAAAGCAATGAAAGGCAAACATACATGTATTTCGTGATTTAAAAAGAGTCACGTGATCTATCAACATAGAAACAAATCTGGGTTTTTTTTATTAATATACTGACACCAATTTATAGTATTAAGTCATTAAAAAACATGACATAAACTATCAAACACAGAAACTCAACATTTATACCGGTAAGTGGAGTTTAATTGACATGAAACAAGACAATGAATAAATATATTTTAATTAATAACCGACTTCTTTAGTATGTTGATGTCGTTTTACTATAATATGTCTGTTTTACTAATATAAAATAAGAAGGATGTATATAAGATATTTGCAGTATTTTGACTTGTTTTGATAGCCAACTTCACAAATATTTAAAATATTGCATGTATATGCCTAGCCTTCACAGCATCGACCAACCAAATATGCAAGGATGTTTTGAACTTATGTGAAAAACTTTCTTATAAATATAGCCAAAATTTAGTTGATTTCACAAGAAGTAAAGTTATTGCGTTTCCATTGGTTTGCTGTGCGTATGGCGTTAGTGTTCGAACTTAGGACAGGATTAAGCACAAAAAAGAATTTAGAACGAATTTGGGGCCACTTTTAATATTGGGGCACCACCTGTCTGTGAAAAACAAGGCATTTTCCATTCTATCCCTTCACTGAAATAAAGTATCTGCGTTTCAAAGAGTGTGACGCATAGATCCAATTTAATATCCCGGCTTTTAAACCAAACAAACTTCATCTTCTTTATAAATTCTTGGATTACATTTTCTATGAACGTAGAAGTGGGACACATCAAAGGAAACAGTGCAATGATTATGCAGGTATGGACGAATAAGGAGCCTGTGATTATAATTGGCTCGGGGGCCCTGATCAAATTAATCATTCTTGAATTTACGTTATTTTTGATAAATTGGTAAGACTGTCACAAGCTAAATTGTGCAAAAGCCAGAAACGCTAGGACATAATCTAAAACATAATCTAAAAAGCAGTATTTACAGTCAGCCTTTCAAAAAACAATTCTCGCTCCAACGTGGAAAAGTTGGGAACCACTTACGAGGCCAGGATCAATTTATGTGCACGGAGGTCTGTGTGGAAAGGAATACCCCCCCCCCCTCGAACTGTGTGTAGGTTACAGATCTATATAGTTTCCTGTACTCACATTAAACTTAAGCCCGGCCTTCGTTTCTTTCGCCTACAATACGTTTCCCACAATGGCATCGATGTTCTCTCCGGAAACTTTCCTTCGTACCAGAAAGCTTGCTCAACATAATCCGGATCGAATAAAAATATTGACCACTTTTTACCATTTCTTAACTTGACGATTGAACCGTACTTTTTGTTAAGTTCTGTAAACACCAGATTCGATTGTTCTAAAGTATGTGCAGCTGTAATAAAACCAAACAGATTAAAACAAGCCCTTGGAAATGTTGGTGTGTTCATATGAGTATAATTTAAGACTTATCTCGTCTTCAGTATTGGTTTCGATATATTAATGATTTCCTCTAAAACTCAACCTGTGAATTAACAGAAAATATCTTAATTTACCCCTGATTGTGCCTATGGGACCAAGCAAATGTGTATTGGTAAAGTAAAATAACATTCCCTAAAACGCTTCATTGAAATATTTCAAAAGCTAAGTCAAATGTGTCCAAATTTGCCAATTCAATGTGAGTCTGTCCTGAACAAAAGGACCAAACAACTTCATTTGAATAAGCACGAAATTAGATTGAAATCCATAGAACACGATGTCAAAAAGTGACCAATAATGTGTAATATACGCCCTTTAAGGAAACCCTGCCACGCACCTAGGGCCGAGCAACTCTACCGACATCATTCCATCATATGCAATAATAAGCCGAAATTTATTGAAAATGTGGTAATGGATGTATTAAAATTGAATTCGCCAGGGTCTACTAAAGACCGGCCAACGCGTGACATAGCCTCAGTAAGACCGACACATTATCCGGCAACATCTGCAAGATCTGACATTGACAGCTTCCAGTACTGATGCTACTGTGATGGGTAACGTGGGTTCATCGATGCTGACAATGTTCGTCGCTGACAACGCTCTGTCAGACTTTGTGCTAGACAGCCATATATGCTGAGCCAACGACGTTATTGACGTATTCACTGTACAGTAATTTTTTATTGTCTCCGTGTGTTGTTGATTTTATTGCATGATCGAAATAATGGAGACTATACACCATTTACCAACATTTTTCTTTCCGTCACTCGGCTACATTTGCTCCTTTGGTAATGGGTAGTCAGGTAAAAACTACAGTCTATTTGCTTGATCGTAACATTCCAGACTAAACATCCCTGTTATCTACCCTTGGAAACTACTCTTTCATTGTATGATCAAACACACTTTACCCTCGTATCATTTCGCTGATTCGGCTACCGCCAGCTATTCTTGGTGAAAGTCCTGTTATAACTACCGGTTTATTGTAAGATCAAGATAATAGACTAATCACCATTTACCATTTCGTTCGTACCTCGTTCGACCGCCGTTAGCAACCCGTAGTAATCAGGCTATAACAACCGTTTCATATGATCGAGATAGTCGAGACTAAGCACCACGCCAACAGTTTCATAATGACCTCCTGATCTCAGACAAACTGCCAACGGAGATTAAGGCCGGCCAATGGATTGCCAGTCAGGACATACGAACACCTGACTTGCCATAAACGGACTGTACCAAAAGACGTTTTTTTAAAAATAAATTCTACTGAGAGAGAGAGAGAGAGAGAGAGATGGGGTTTAACGTCCATTCGACACAAACTAGGTCATTTCGGGACTAACACATGGTTCAATTTTATTTCAATAATTCGCTTGTGCGTAGGGGTCTTTAGCAGTGGGAGGAAACCGGAGAACCCGGAGAAAACCCACGAGGTTGGACAGGCGACCCTGCTCTTTGCCACGTCAACCGAAGATTGAAACCCCACCAGTTGACTCAATGGCAGACCGTATGATGCAGCGCGCACGTGCTAACTATTTGGCCATCCATCACCCCGTGTAGCACTATGGCCCTTGAGACAATTTTGGCTCTTTATAAAATTGTCTCTTCAATTTGGTCTATAAAGTCAAATCATAAGTACTAAATGAACGTGGTTATAGTTGTTCGTAAAAAACATTGATGTTTTAGTTAAATTATAATCATTGTCAAAATAGTCCACAAATTCTAGCTGTTTATTGACCTATGGTCGGTTGACCAAAAATAGGTAATGTTGCCTGTCTTGGTTGTGGGAAATATAGAGTTTTATTCCTTATATGGCATGGAAATTCACGTCAAGGTTATTAAAGACCTGGGAAAGTAGGGGGTATAAATTAGGGTGTAGGGTAGAGCTAGATTAGAGCTCACCCAGAGATTCTTACCAGTCATTATATATTTGAGAACGAGGAACCTGCAAAGTTATTTCCAGTTTACTAATAAAGCTGTGAAATCATTGTTGCTGTAGTATTATTTACGATCACAAGGAACACAACAAATAAAGAAGTCCGGTAGTACTACACCCGTTAATAGGTAGTTCAGCACGACCAAGGTGAAGGAGTAGTGGTAGTTGTTACGTCCATAATAAAACACTTATCAGTCTTAGCTTTATTTATAACATGTCTTTTTATGGCGTAGGAAGTAACTATATAACATGCATTTCGTTAATTTAAAGGCAGCTTTCTTAAAATCATAAGTAGATCAAATATATAAATACTTATTACATTGGGGCCTACTGATTCACCAGAATGTTACATTAAAGAACAGGTGAAATTATTTTAGGACAAAATATTTTCAGAGTCAAATTAATCTTAACAATGAGACAAAATGGATGTCGTTCTTTTTTTCAAACAGCTAAAAACGCCAGAACTTTGTAAATAATGGCAAAAACCTCGTCATCTGACAAGTAGTTATTATTAAGGAAGCTGTATGTATCTGGCAGCGTTTAAAGACAAGTACCGAGTGGAGTAGATCATAAAAAGAGGAAAGCTCGAGTAATTGTAAACCTGATCAGAGTGTAAAATATCATCATGGGAATCACTAAAAATAATAACTTCCGGATAGCTGCAGTTTGTAAATTCAATTTCATTTAAATTAATGTAACATATAAATTTCTAGCTGATTGAATTTTCACAAACAGTTATTTGATCCGTACTTATTCATGAAAATTGAAAACTGCTCTAGTAGACTGTAACTTTAATCGACCAAGGACAATGTTTGAGTTCTTCTATCAAGGAATAACTTTTATAACGTTAGCCTTGTGATAATCTGCGGACAAATGTATATGGTTCAGGCAACGTTGCGATGGTGCGTTGCGGTATTTTCCGCTTTGTACCGTCTTCATTAGCCCAGTCGGGGCAGGACAGTAGGACGTTAAACCTCATTTCATTTCATTTCGTTTATTTTTCCATTTTGTCGGATACAAGCATCAACCCAAAAACAATATGTGAATGCATTGGCTACGACACATAGTTTCTTAGTTTTAATGCTGCATTTCACCACACAGGAAAGATTGTTGCGTTTAAAACTTTCAATAAAAGTTGACATGTGTGGAGAATTTCAACATGGTTTTAAAAACATAATCTTGACAACTTTTGGAACCTGGTTGGTTACATTTAGTATTAATTTACATTAATGAATCTATCGAAGAATACAATTCGTCAATATTTACATTTTTTCCCATCAACCTTTATGAGCTTGGTGACGGAAGCTTCCAAAACTTGAGAAATATGAGTCAATTTACACGAATTTATGATGAAGCAAGAACGTTTTGTAAAGAATATACTTACTGAATGGGTGAAACAAAAACATTGGACCTATATACGGCAAGGAAGTCCGTCCCCTTGGTCCTGGGATCGCTTCAAATGGTTGAACACCATTTGGAACAGTGGAGGGAGTCGCTGCTACTGCGGCAAATCTCAAAGTTTTAAAGGAAGACAGCAGGAGATTTATGAGTCGCTGTTTCATGATCTGAAAAAAAAAGACTAACAAATAATATTTCTATAATAGTTATAATACACCGCTATGTTAAACACATAGATATTCACCGCATTCAATGAAGTACAATCAACCGCCATGAAAACTTATGAATGCTGTGACAGTGCATTCATTGAATACATTCATTGACATAGCCTCAACAGTCATCTGTTTTCAAAGTCAAGTAAATTAAATGAATCTATTCCATCTCAGAAACACTACCGAAGATCATTCAAACCGATTAAGCACTATATTCGTAAATATTTACGGCAGTTGGGAAAGTAACCCTGATCCTGACGATTAATCATAATTATTGTCATAATCAGTGTATGCTTTATCAACGCAAGCGGTGTTATCATATTGATGCAAACATGATGAGGCATTTTATGCTGTTAGTATGTTGGCTGATAGTGGTCATGTGAAATCTCGCGATCCGGGCAGTTTCCCTCATAATACTGGATAGCGTATGCCCGTCTTCATTAGCTAAGTCGTAGCAGAACAGTAGGACTTTAAACCCCATTTCATTTCATTTTCCTACTTTTCTGCACCATTCTGACTACGACGGGAGAACCCTCGTCGAAACGTCGCTGAAATAAATCCTTTAAGTAACTTGTATTCCATATCATTGTGTCATGTGTTTTTCACATTCAGTTACTAAATGCCATTTAAACAATTTACACCAAAAGTTCTTTAACACTACCAAATTTGAGCTGTATATCTTCACTAGAAAGATAAAAATAAGATATCTGAAACTCGAGTAACCTATTCATACATATTTTGTTTGGAAAACTTATCGGTAACTAATGAAACTCGAATGCCCGTATCTCAGTCGATTTTCACACTGGGAGAACAAATAAGGATAATAGGTTCTCTTAAAAGAAAACTCTTATCCGTTGTTATTTCAATTGAAACTGTTTAGTTTTTAACAATAATTTTAAAACTTTCTGCCGCTCTTAGAAACATTGAAATATGTATAATGGGATATGTGCATTTAATGATCAGAATCGCAATAGACCGATCGTATTTCAAAAAAAAAAAAAACTTTAATAATTTTATCTAATTCTCTAATACATCACACGGTAAAAAGCTTTCAGCACATCATTTAAAATTCATCAAATTTTTAAATAAAACCTCTAGAAAGTAACCCTGATAACATTGTAAATAAATGTAACGTTCTAAAAAAAGTTGACACATGTAAAAATACATAATTAACCTCTTAGAATTAATTTAGCAGTCGACATCCTTGACACATTATAAGTGTCTCGTGTATTTATGGGAGTATTTTAACCTAGCCGATATCCTTAATGCTCATCTTCAAGGATCTAAATTTCAAAAAAATATGATTAAAATTTAAAGTGACAACTTTTAAGTTCTAAATAACCATATCACCTTTCATAGGTTGTAATGTGTTTAAATTATTTCATGATCTGCCTACTGATTAGGTTGGAAGAGTATAGAAGTTATCAAACATTCACGCCTTAATATTAAATAAGATGCTAGAAAGTCCTCAGAAAAGAAATTAACTCAAATTTCGGTCAACAACCGTTGTAATGACCAAACAACCAGGGTGTAAAATACACGTATAAAACATTGCAATCCTAACACGTGATTTAAAAACAGTTTTTTGATACCTTTAAACTTATGGCAACTGTGCAACTAGTTTAGCTTTAAATGTGGGCGTGTCTACTTATCTTGTTATGCTAAAATTACACAATCTTAACATTTGTTACGGGAACCATGTCAATTCTGAAGAATGAATAATGACCCGACTCTTTAAATATGCATTCCCACGAAAGTATTTATTGGGTAGTTATTTGAAATAAAAGTATGGTAAATTTTGTATGGAAATTAGAGACACCCCCATCTTACTAGAAAAAATACTGGATTCCCTGATAAACACGAATGGGGCGCCTACAGGCGTTGTATGACAGCCTGTCTTCTCGAGTATGTGTTTATCTAATGGCTTGAGGTAAACAATGCGTTTGTCCATTAGACTCCGCGATAAAACGGCGGAAAAAGAAGTTGGCAAAGGATAATCCCAGAATTTAGTTAGGCGTCGATATGTATGGTAAATGGCCTGCGACGACGACAAAGACAAGCTGATAATGAATGCATTCTCATTCAATCAAGTCACGTTACAAACAAAGCTGCTTAAAATGGATTCTTACGCCATAGGGTAGTTTGCTTTCGATTAAAACATTTTTAGAGGGATTTGAAGCAAATTAGTTTGAATATGTTTTTAATCCAAATAATACGTCATCAAATCACACAGTTTACACTAAGATATACTTATAAATAAAACAAAACGAAATGGAGTTTTACGGCACGTCAGCACAGGGGGCCTGGTGACACTATTATTAGTAAGTTAGTATCAAAACTCATGCGCCATTGCAACAGTGACTTTTGGACCACTTTTGCTATCAATTTTGCGCCAGAAATCAGAACTGTAAAAACAAATCTTCATACTCGAAAAAAAAAAAAATACTACCACTTTCATTTTTGAAGTGGGGGCGAGAGTCACTCTGGAAAATGTAACTTATGTGTTTGAACGCTGACGTTTAGTGAAACAATCATTTTCTTTTACCATATCTTTCATTTTCAATTCAACTTTCCAATTTCAATTTTTTGACCCGAAAGGGGCGTGCATTTCAAATTCAAGTCCAAGGTAAGGGTGATATTTGCGCCTGAATCGAGGTGTATTTTTGCGCCACAATAGAGACTTTTGGCAAGCGTAAATTCCTGGTCCGTATCCCGTATCCGTATCGATCTTGCGTTGGACGTCATCAATGCGTGTGTATTTGTCATACGTGATACGGCACACGGATACGGCAGCACGTATGGAACAGCTTTCATATGGAAAAGGTCCGTATAACATCGTCGTCTTTTTACCGTCTTTTTTGCTACTTTTAACGCTTTTATGAATCTATGTGTATCCTAGAACACGAAGGAGTATATTTGATGTGATTTTAACCATGATAAAGACTGGAATTTAATAATTATTTTTGATGAGTTTGTCTCGGAATTTTCATATTTTTCCTGCCTGTCTGTCTGGACAAGGGAAGATGCTAGAAGCAATTTTTGGACATCTATATGATTGTACTGATTCAATCTATATGTCCATTGGAGTCAAATATCATAATGTTAAACGAATAATAAATATAACTCACTTAAAAAAAAAATGTTTGTTTTGAAGGCTAAAAATACAGTTTTTGCCAAAATAACATTATTAGTTCTATGAAATCAGAAATGGCATAAGGCATCACATGGTGAAAATTTTATGAAAATCGAATGATAATTGCCACTTTTATAGACCAAAAACCCTGAAAAGTGACTTAAAACCGTCTATTTCTCTGCAACCGTACAAGTTAGAAACCATTTTGTGGTGTCTGTATGATCGTATAAGTTCATTCTATTTGTTGATTGGAATCAAATATCATAGTTCTAAAAACATTACAAATCAGTCGCATTTGAATAAGATATCTGTGTTGAAGGCTAAAATTAAAGTTTTTGCCCAAATTACGTCATTTCCGGTGAAAATGTAAGCGTTAAAATGATTTGACCTATTCAAAATTGGCATTAGGTATCGCATGGTAAAAAAAAAATGAAAATCGAATGATAATTGACTCTTTTAAAGGCAAATTAACGCCAAAAGTGACGCATGCAAAATTGCCTATTTCTCGGCAACTGCTCATATCATATTACAAACTCATTTCGACATAGATTGTCTTCGTATGGATTATTGCTACGAGTTTATGAATGTTACGAAGAAATATTTTAAAATATGAAGACGGTGAATGGGTTGTAAATATCTTAATTTTACACCTTTTTCACATTTTAATCGAAATAGCCCGAAAACGAAATCGAAATTAAAAAAACTGAATCCGATGATTTGTGCGCCTTTGCATGACGCATCCTTTTGGTAATATCAAATTTGAAAACAATAATATTTACTTTCAAAAGGTTGTACCGAACTGTCAGAATTGTAGTTTTTGTTAAATTTACATCACTTCCGGTGCCGAAAGGAAACTTCACCGGTAACAAAAAAAATATATTTTGGACCACGGAGCATATGAACTTTGTTTTATACATATCGAACAATAAATAATTATTCTAGATAGATTTATCGAGACAAAAATTGTTCATATTTTTGCTCAAATTACATGTCCCTTTAATTCGGGGGGGGGGGGCGAATGGTTAGCACGTGCGTGCTGTATCATACGGCCTGTCATTGAGTCAACTGGCGTGGTTTCGAATCTCCGGTTGTTCGTGACATGGGTCGCCTGTCCAACCTCGTGGGTTTTCTCCGGGTCCTCCGGTTTCCCCCCACTGCTAAAGACCCCTACGCGCAAGCGAATTATTGAAATAAAATTAAAACATATGTTAGTCCCGAAATGACCTAGTTTGTGTCGATTGGACGTTAAACCCCATTTCTCTCTCCCCTTTAATTCTGGGTAAAACGCTATAAAAAGATATTCATAAATAAAAAAGTTTTTTGTTAAAATTTAAATTTTCAAATTTTGGCGCCTAATACCCCCGAAGATTCGTTGAAAATAAAATATCTAAACAACCGTAGCTATTTGCCTTGTTTCAGGCAAATGTTAAAATCCGATGATTATTGTTAATATTACGGCAATATTTAAAAAAAACCCGACATTTCGCATTGTCGCAGAAAGTTCGAAATAGCTTTAAACGCTAAGTCACACCCACTCTACCAGTAAAACCGAAGACATCGAATCGATCCGACAAGTAGTTTCTGAGATATAGTCAAGTGGAAAAAAAAATAATAAGAAGGACTAGAACTGCGATGCAGTAATGACAGATTTCACCGGTGCCACGTTACCCTTGGACTTATGTCACTTCCGGTGCCATGTTACCCTTGAACTTATGTCACTTCCGGTACCAATGAAACCGTTAAACAGATTTCCACATTAGCATTGCACACGTGTTATAAAATGGACGCAGAATCACACGAAATCCAGCAATATCAATTCCATTTATACATTTGTTACCATGTTTTGCATAGGTTAAAAAAGTGATCCTGACAAAATTTGTTACTAATTTACCGCTAACTTTCTAATGGGAAATTAAAATGCGAAAAAAAATCTTAAAAAGTGACCCTGACAAAATTGGTTATTTCACAGTAACCGAAGAAGTTAGAAGCAATTTTTTGTTATCTATAGCATCGTATTAAATCATTATATAGTTCGGATGCAATTAAATATCATAATTGTAAAGGAATAT